AACATTGGAAGTAATTAAGGCTTTGACAGTCCGTCATTGCAGTTTACTTAATTGCTGGCTAATAATTAAAACCCTCACAGAATGTGGGGAAATCTGAGTACTGGGTGACGGATCCCCCTGAGCCTCCTCCTCCTGGAACTTGCGGGTCTCTGTTGGAGCTTTTACCCTGAGCTGGAGGCTCGCTGTACATTGCTATACCATATTTTAGCCTTCCAGCCGGAGCAAGTCCCTTTAGCCAAGTGCACCCCACAGGCGAGACTAGCCCTGAGAGAAGCAGCTATCAGGCTTGATAATGCAGAAGCCAGGTCTGGTGAGCATCTCATTTGCCCCTAGGTCCGGGTATGAGGGCCTCCAGTCCCTCCTGTCTGTGAATGGCAGAGAGTGGGAGGCTTGGGCCCCACTACCCGCCCACCTCTGCCTTCTGCCGGATCCGAGCTACATTTCCAGGAAGCTTGCTGTGTGCCGGGCTCTAGGCTAAGTGTGTTGGTCCTTCAGCCTTGACACAGCCGGACTAGGTGAGGCCATCCCTCTCCCCACTTAGCAGAGAGGAAAACTGCAGTTAAGATGAGATGACCTGTTTGAGATCAACCCAGCTGGGAAGGGCCGCGGAGCACCTGAATGCTGGGTTTTCTTCTTTACACTATGAACTATGCTTTTCTGTTTTTGTTTTTTGTTGTTGTCTGTTCCTTTTTGAGACAGGGTTTCTCTCAACATAGCCCCGGCTGTCCTGGGAGCTCGCTATGTAGACCAGGCTGTCCTGGAACTCACAGAAATCCACCTGCCTCTGCCTCTCGGTGCCAGGATTAAAGTCATGCTCCACAGTGACGGGCCTAAGAATTACGTTCTTGACACTAAGTTGAGTCTTTAGGTTAGCAGCTGCTCAGTCTTGTCATTGTTGGGAGGCCTGTCCCCTGTCTGATGTCAGGCAGGTAGAAGAAATCGGCTCCCATCACCCTCCCAGTGTCCCCTAGGCCCTCCCTTCTCCTGCAAAAATTGCCTCTCTTCCGTGAAAATTTCTTAGTCACCTTCCTGTCACGTAGTGGGAGGCGTGTTTGTGTCTGCAGAACCGGCACACCTTGGTGAGATGAGCATATTCTGAGGCACAGCATCATAATGGAAAAATGAATAGGGGTTTTGGAATCCAAACAGATATGATGAATCCAATTAAACACCGTGGAGTCATACACCCAGCGTCGTGCCTCATGCGTGGCAAACACGTGGTCACTGGCATTACTGGCAATTCTGTGTGCGTGTTCCTGTGTGTCTAATATATTTGATTGTTGATCCTTAGCCATTAGATTTCATGGACAGGACACTCTCTGTAGGTGTGTGCGTGCGTGCATGTGTGAGTGCGTGCACACGCACATGCACACACACATGCACACACACACACACACTTCATTCTTGGCGCTATAACCTGTTCTTCAAAAACTTAGCTGTTATGTGCACAAAGGTGCCACATAGGTTGGGAACGTCCTGAGCAACAGTAGGGAGAAGACGCCTCCATCTTCACATACCTTAGCTCTGTTTTGCCCCCAGGTCCATTCATGCCGAGGCCACAGAGTTGACCAAGATAGAGGGAGGCAGCCTCCAAGACATCGGGACTTAACCAACAGAGTAAAGTAGAGCACCTTCAGGTTATGTTAATGTCATCACAGAGTGACTAGTACCTCACATCCCTCCACCCCTTCCCAGATCTTCACTCTCACTGGACACAGTGAGAATGAAGCATGCTTAGCTGTGGGCCGGCCAGTTGCTGGGGTATGGCAGGGTACAGATCTGGAGTGCTTGAGGGGAAGAGGTGGACTGAGTTCTTCTGCAAGTACAACTTAATGTATTTTTAAGCTAAACATCGAAAAATGCCTTGGGAAATCACAGGTGTGAATATTACACCCCCTTCCCTGAACACACACACTCATGCATTCCACACACACATACAACTAGGTTAAGTATCTGTAGCTTCTTGGGTCTCAGTGGTCAGTTCTTACATGCATGTAAATCCTGGGGTTTCAGTTTCCTGTATCTTTTCTTCCCAAGAGGGCACAACACACACACACACACACACACACACACACACACACACACACACACACACACACACACACACACACGAGAGAGAGAGACAGAGACAGAGAGAGACAAAGAGACAGAGAGAAAGAGAGAGAGAGAGAGAGAGAGAGAGAGAGAGAGAGAGAGAGAGAGAGAGAGAGAGAGAGAGAGAGAGAGAGAGGTGGCATACCCTAGATGGCCACCAGGCGGCACTGCTGAGGCACGAGGAGCTCTAGGGTGTAGCCTCTTCAGGACTGCCCCAGCCAGGGCTCTCAACAGATCCAGTCACCTCTTTGCCTCCCCTATTCCACTCTGGGGACTGCAGACAATTCTTGGCCTCCGCCACCTCCTGCTGGTTGCACTCCTGCACCTTAACCTCTTACCTTCTCTGTTGACACACAGGGCTGAGCTGAGCCATTTCAAGGACCTCGGTGTCTGATTTTTGAGTAGTCTAGCCCTGGGGGCTGCCCTACTCTACTTTGTTGATATGGAAAAATGTAGGGGGTGGGTGGAGGTCTTTGAGGAGACTGGGGCAAGAGGGTACCGTGACTGAGAGGTCAAGAGTTGATATAGGTTCTCTGTCACTACCAAGACTTTGGGTTCTAGTTTCCATCATGCCCTGCTGTGCCCCAAGGCCTAGGGAATCGGGAATGAAGCTGACTGACTGTGTGGATTAAATATTTTTTCCTTAAAGAGAGGTGGACATTTTTTTAATGCCACAATATCCAACCACTACACACAAACACACACACACACACACACACACACACACACACACACATACACACACACACATACAAACTTATGTGATCTCTCCGAATGCCAGTGTTCTCCTCTGTAAAATGGAACAATAGCACAGATCTCCCAGAAATGTTGTGAGGATTCAACTGGATGATGTGTGTAAAGGACTGGGCACACCCATAAGTCTCTGAATAACTCTGTCACTTTCCTCTTTGGAAACTCACTTTGGAGAGGAGTGTACATTGGATCATTTCCGTGAAAACCATAGAAAGCATCACCCTCCTGCGAAACCTGTACCTTGGCACCATCTTCTAGGTTCCCACATAGGCACTTGAGAATTAAACCTTAAAATATATAGGTGTACACTTTCTGACCCTGCATCCCATGCCAAGCCATCGGTTAAAGTCATGGATCAGTTCACGAGGTGACACTTGCCAGGATAAACAGACATGGGCAGCCAGAGAGATGATGCCAAGGCTGGGGACAGAGCACAGACCACTGGCATGGAGGCCTGCCGTTCGTCCTTGTTCACTGACCCCATCATGGAGTGCTGTGTACATGGGACTGGCCATGAGAAGCTGCGGGATAGGGACAAGACCCCAAGGGAGCAAAACAGAGAGATGGCCAGGCCCAGGTCTAGAGCTGGTCCTAAGAGAAAATGCCCCAGAGGCTCTGGGGAGAGCCATACAGCATGGCCCTGCCACCCCACCCAGCCTCTCTTGGCCAGCCATCCAGTGACAGCCAGCCAGCCTGAGCTCAGTCCTGAGAAAAAAAATACCTCTTATGGGATTCGGAAATGTTCTCTTTGGCAGCCAAAAGGAGCTTGCTCTCCTGCTGAGTCTGTGGGTGGAGAGAGGCTGGGGCTGGGAGTGGGGGTAAGGCTGGCTTGCCCAGGAGGCTGGAAGGGTTGCGGGAGGGAGGAGAGGGCTTGTCCCACGCTCATCTTGCTGTCACTGACTAATGAAGACTGCCTTTTGAAGAAGATTGGGGAAGCTGGGTCCTGTGCAGTGACAGTGACTTCCCAACATCAACGGTAAACTGTGGGGCAGGGCCTTCACCACGTGTCCTGAGAGCCTAGCACAGTGCCCAGTACCAAGTTCTGGTGGCGTCTTTGTTGTTTCATTTGCATTCATTTTGGGGGGTGTTGCTTGGGGATTTTTGTTGTCTTTATCTCTTTCCTTTTTGAAATAGGGCTTTGCTATGTAGCCTTAGCTGGCCTAGAAATTGCTATGTAGACCAGGCTAGCCTCAGACTCAAAGAGATCCACCAGCTTCTGCCTCCTGAGTGCCAGGATCAAAGTTGTGGGCCACCACACCCAGCCCCAAGTGGTTATTTGATAAAGATTTGTTGGCTAGGTCAATAGAAGGGAGAGGAAGGTTCTTTGAGTTGCATCATTTGGATGCTATTTCCATCCTAGATGGGAGAAAGGATGAAGCTTTGTTTATGGGTAGAGGCTCTCAATGGTCCAGGCTAACGTCATCCTGCCGGGAAACCAAGGTTGAGCAAAGTGGTCCTGACCAGTCCAGATTCTGGCCACACCCATACTTCTTCCTCAGTCAGGATTTCCAACTCTTGAATAGGATCTGAACTGCCCCCAGAAAATGACTGCTCATCTCTAGCTCCCATCAGCCACCTCACCTTCAGGAGGCTTTGCCAGGACTGCCTCCTAGACCCCACAGAGCAACTCCACGTGTTCCCAAGCCTTCGGAACACTGGCTAGTGACAGGCTGATGGATTGAAACTGGCCATGTAGGAATATTTATACCATGGAAATGGACAAACACTGCCCATCAGAGTGTCCCCTCTGTCAAAGGCCCTAAGCACACACCAGCAGAGTGCTACAAAGGAGATTTCAGGGGAGTGTTCATTACATTCCACCACAGGAAACCTTGCCTGTGACCGCTGCCTCTGCTGTGAGAAGAGCCTCCCCAAACCAAAGCCAGAGGCAGTATCGGTCACTCAGGGAGAGGGTCTGGGGGAGTGCAGTGACCCTGTCTGCAGCCCTTATCAGGGTTGGAGCTTCAGCCGGCCTGGGGCAGATGTGGAGGCCTGTACCTGCTCTGTTGGTCATCTTTGGGGAAACAGAAGAAGCAGGTGACTGGCCCCAGGGCCTGGTTTCAGGAAGATTTGGTCTGTCTCCCCTGCCCTGGCCCCCAGTTTCCTCAGGAAGCCCTCTTCATTCACCAGCTTCTTTCTGCTCTCCTTGTCAGATCCGGAGTCACAGAGAAAGAGGACAGTCCAGAATGTTTTGGACCTTCGACAGAACCTGGAAGAGACCATGTCCAGCCTTCGAGGCTCCCAGGTGACTCACAGGTAAAGCCTGAGCTGCCCTTGGTGACGTCCTCTCCCTGGGTCTGGAGGGCAAGGCTTCAGGGTCTTTCTGCATCTCCACATAAGCATCCCAAGTCGACCGGTCTGTGGCCTTGGCCTCTGTGGACACAGGTGTCTGGATCCCCACATTGCCAGTGCTGCAAAGAAAGGGCACCCAGCACCTCAGCAGGAGCCCCATGGAGTCTTGTCTCTGCTTATGCTTGAGCACGGGCTTTCACTTATCCGGAATCACTTTGAAATCGGCTGGGTAAGGGTGGGAAGCCCAGGTGTGTGGTCTGTCATACGTCCTCATCTGTCAAGAGGGCTTTGTTACTAAACACCACTCTACTCTTCAGGTCCTATCCTTCTGGGATGCTAGGACCCGGATCCTCCCAACACCTGGGCTCTTCAGCCCTCTGCCAGCCTGTGTCCTCTGGCTACTTCTGTCACTCCCAAAGAAGGGCTGAGTACCTGGAAGGGTCTACGTACCATCACCCACAAAATCAGCCCCATAGTATCCCGCTTGTCCCCCAACCCTTAGAGAAACCCCCAAGCCTCCAACTACAGGGTACACACCTCTCCCCACAGCCCTTTTCCCTAGAGCAGCATTCTGGCCCCGGCCCCTGTGAGTCAGAATTTCCCATTCGGTTCCTCTGGACTTCCCTGGGCTGCTCAGATGAGCTCATACTGTCAGCCCTAAGGGGGACAGAGGACACAGCTAAGTTCTGAGGAGGGAGGTGAGCAGGCAGCCGAGGTTGGGAAATCACGGGGCATGGGCATGGAGGCTCGAAGCCTGTGCGTTAGGAACCGAAGCCTCCTCAGTTAAACTGGAGATAGGTTCCTCTCTGTTGCCTGGTGCTAGAAAACTGACTGCAAAGCTGGGACATAGGGTTAATGGGAAAAGGACTTTTGTCAGCTCGGAGCATGGTCTGTCAGAGGAGTATCCAGACACACTTGCATACCCTCAATGTCAGCGAACCCATTACCTTTGAGGCATCTCCATCTATGTGGGGGCACCATGACTGCTGCTGTTCTGTGTCTTAGGAGCATTCATCCATTGGCCCTAGGGCCCTTTCAGACATCTCCATCTATGTGGGGCCACCATGACTGCTGCTGTTCTGTGTCTTAGGAGCATTCATCCATTGGCCCTAGGTCTTCCTGTTGAGACTTGTCTCCTTCTCTTACTTCCCACTGCCTCCCACACCCCCACTCATATCCCTGCCTTGAAAAACCAGGCTCTTATTCCCAGACATCTAAGCATCTACCTTACGACTAAAATGGAGGTCATCAAGGAAGTCTGAGGAGAGGTGGTCAGTGTGGTTTCAGGAGCCCCAAACAGTCTCTGTTCCATCCCACAAGCCCTAAGCAGGAATCCAAGTAGAGTGGGGCTCCCAGTCAGCTGAATCACCCGGCAGTTTAGCCACCGATAGATGAAATCCTCACCCCTACCCCTTGTCCAAGGAAGTTTCTGGAACATCTCTCAATGCCAAGTCACCCGCCAGGATCGTGCCAAAGAAGCCAAGAGTTGCTGACTTGCTCTGAGAGTCACACCCCAAATGACTCACCCACAGAAACAGGGCAGAGGCAGCTGTCTAGGCGCCTGGTGCCCCGACGCCTGCCCTGAGGCCCCTGGGAGATCGGGAAGACCCTGCTTGTATGGGGAAGAGAAGCCTAAAGCCTTCTCTTAGTGCTGACTGGTTGAGACAAGCGCCCTGGGGCCTCTGGCCCCTCTCGCCCTTTATGGGAAAGAAAGTACCAGCAAAAGCCTGTCTTCTGTTTACCATGGACTAGGGGCCACGTCTTCTCTTAGCCTTTGGTTTATATTAGTTCTGCTCCACACCAGCAGTCCGGTTTTGTGCTGACTTTTATGGCTCTTTTGCTTTATAAGGTGCTATCCATCAATCTTTCCCTGCACCTTGGAATAGTAATATTCCCTAGGCTAGGAAGAGGACCTTGGAGAAGAGGCACCTGTTGGACCCACAGGCTGCTGGGGGCAACTCTGCGTCCATACAGCATGGGGCACCAGCCTTCAGAGCAAACACGGCCATATCCCCGTGGGCCTCAGGGTTCAAGGGGTACCTCTGCCAAGGTTGCTGTCACCCTGGAGTTCACAGGGTAACTCAGACTCCGTTTCTTTTTGGAAACTTGCTTCCTCTATTTCTGTAGGTATGTTTCCCTCACTAGAGAGAGTCTGAGGTAGGGACTGGGGCTGGAGAGGAAGCAAAAGTGACCTCCCCAGAGGAGCCAGCCTGGGACTGGGCACCCGCTGGAGGTCAGGAGATCAGCTCTGAGCTAGAAACCCTTTCCACTGAGATCTAGAGATGGATTTGGGTGCTTAAAAAAATAGAGCCTGAAAATAGGGGAAGAGGCGTTTTATGCTCAGAGAGTAACACAGAGGGTAGGCCAGAGACAGAACGGAGTGAGGAACCCCCACTTCCTCATGCGCTTGCTACCGTGGTGGACACCAACTACCCACACCAGCTCCCCTGGGTACCTCCATGCTCTCACCATGATTTGCGGCTGCTGTTTATCCCCTCTTCTCCTTCTCCATCATCATCATCCATAACCATTTCATGGGCAGCTTATTTCTGTTAAGCCCGTACTGCATGAGGCCCTGACCTTCCTCTGTGGTGAAACAGTCCCTACTGCATTCAGCACAGCCGTCCTGGGTCTGCTTCCTGTTGATTCCCTTGTGAAGTGCTAGAATACAGGGTGAGCACTGGGATTGAGTTACACCACGACCCTGGCTTCCCTGCCATCAGGGGATTGCCATTCTCCCACAGGAGATGGTGTCAAGGTCCGCAGTAACTGGAAACGGATGCAGAACTGCAAAGGATGCTGGGACTGCTGGGCCCAGAGAGAAGGACGGGCGTAGGTCGGCTGGGAGTACTCAAGAGGTCACTGATGGCCCACAGGTCAGCGGCAAGGACCCCATCGTGCTGTTTTTCAGGACCACTGACCCTCCCTCCCCCTCCAATTTTGCTAAGGAATAGAAAGAACATTTATTCAGGCTCAACAGAGACCATTTTGGAGGGTTTTTCTTTTTCCAAGCAACTTCATAAAAACAACAACAACAATAATAATAAAATCAATGTCTGCCTCCCATCCCTTCCCTGAGAGTGGCTATGAAAGGGATGTGGTCACAGATCAAAGATTCTTCTGCTTTGTGACCCTCATGTCTAGCCACAGGTTGCCTCAGATGTGCTAGCTTTGGTGGCCCACACACCTCATGTCATTAATTCAGCCTTGTCTGACTTCAGTGATAGAGAAGGGGCAAAAATAATTTGGAGTGGCACCACTGCCTGGCTTAGTGAACTTATCAATCACAGCCTGAACCAAATCCCTAATCACCGTTCTTGCCACATCTCAGCCATATTTCCTCTCTGGCCCTGTGAGAGAAGGCCTCAGTGAGTCTCTAGCCTCAGGCCTTCTGATATCTGCCTGCCTGCAGCTTTCTTGGCCTGGCTTGGTGGCCTGGATGCTTGGGGCTCCTGGATCTTATTGTACCTCTCGTCTCCTTTCCTGGGTCCTCTCCTCTACCCAGTGAAGGTCGTGTCTGTTCCCTGAGGAGGCTCTGTTTCCTCCTCTGATGCCCAGGCCTATGGCTAGAACCAGTCTTCCTGGGGCCTGCTTCATGTCTCAGGTTCCCAAAAGCTTGTCTCGTACCTTCAACATCCGATTTTAGGTTTTCGTAGATAATGGTACCCGAGAATCAGCTCTAGACAGAGATGATGGCCACATCCTGAACGAAGTGAACAGTTAAGATCTTCTGAGCTCTGGTGATCAGTAGCCTCCACTTTTCCTGACCCACCAGGCCTCACTGGCTCTTTCTGGTTGGGTGAGCATCTTCTACATGTCGGGCCCAGTCAGATCTGTATGGCTGCAGCCCTCCCAACTCTACAAACATTACATAGGGTAGGCACGGTCCCATCTCACCGATAAGGAAGCAGTGGACCAGCAAGATTAATTTATTTCTTTGGGCTATTTACCAGAAAATGATTTTAAAAAATATATTAAACCCTAGCCACACTCACAGCATAGGCTCTTAGGAGTGTATGGGATTGCTGTCTTGGCTACTTAGGATCACTGTCCCTTGACAGTCTGGGATAGCCTGTAACAAAGGAACATACACTTAGGAGCCCCTACAGAGGGGCATCCCAGTGAGGGGACAGGGCACAGAGCGGTTGGGCTGAGGACTAAATTGTGCCATCCGCTCTCTCCGCAGCTCCCTGGAGATGACTTGTTACGACAGCGATGATGCCAACCCTCGAAGTGTATCCAGCCTCTCCAACCGCTCCTCTCCCCTCTCTTGGCGCTATGGCCAGTCCAGTCCCCGGCTGCAGGCTGGCGATGCACCCTCTGTCGGGGGGAGCTGCCGCTCCGAGGGGCCGCCAGCCTGGTACATGCACGGGGAGCGGGCACACTACTCCCACACAATGCCTATGCGGAGCCCTAGCAAGCTCAGCCACATCTCCCGCCTGGAGTTGGTGGAGTCCCTGGACTCTGATGAGGTGGACCTCAAGTCCGGCTACATGAGTGACAGTGACCTCATGGGCAAGACCATGACAGAGGATGATGACATCACGACAGGGTAAGCCCAGGGGCCCTCGGACAGCTGGTGCCGAAGAGCAGAAGGAGTGGTGGGATGGGATGCCTTAAAAGGAGAGTGGAGCTCAGCATGTGTTTGTTGTGCTGTGACGAAAGGGGTCTGCGGAGGGCTAGTGTGCATGCAGTGCCTGCCTCTGCAATCAGATGTGGCTTGTTCTAGAGGGGTATGGTGGGTGGGGCTGGCAGCAGAGGAGCTGATTGGTCCATAAACGTATGCCCGTATTCTCGTCTCTGAGCCTGTCCTCCAAAAAGTCTGGCCCAAAGAGCTCTGGAAACCTTTTTGAGGCCCAGCTCTTCTGCAAACTGGGTAGACCACAGATGACTCAGTTTGCTTCCACATCTGCAAAACGAGGCTAAGGATGTCACCTCCTTGTACCCGCTAAGAGAAAACACCATTTGAATGAAAGTGTCGGTCAGACAGAGTGGGGGTGGTGTCTCTACTTCCTCTGCCTGGGGTTCCAGGCCTCCTTACCTTGGCCCTTGGTTTATATCCTGGGTTTCTGTTTCTGCAATCCTTCTACCCATAATGCCACATCGTATTCCCTACTCCAGTCTATTAAACCTTCTTTCCTGCCCTTGGACCCCTAGAGACCCTCAGCTTATCTTTTCTGCCATAATAGACAGGGTAGACTTAGGGAGACAATTTGGATGGACATGGCTGTCTTGGAAGTAAAAAGAGGACAGAAAGAATTGGAACTGATGGGGTTTCAAGCCCTGAGACCAGAGAGCGCCATGATTCTGGAAACTTCTCTGGGGTCTCTCAGCAGACTGCCACTTCCACTCTTCCTTCATGGTTTTCTGGGACCTCCCCTCCTAAGACACCCCATAAAGCAGCAGCAGCCCTTCCCTTGTCTCTCAGGTGCCTCAAATCATACTACCAGAGATTGCCACTCCTAACAAAACTGCAGCTTCAAGGGCATAGAAAGTGGCCTCTTGGAAAAGACTGAGCTGAGTTCCGGCCGTCCACCACTCCCAGCCCGCAGCCCACCCATGGGGATAAACTTGGCAGGTCTGGTCACGGTCTGTCCAGCTGATGAGGCTGCTCTGGAGGAAAACAACTGACGCATGAATGCCTTGTTTACTGCCTGGCAGATCCCAGGGGCGGCCCGACCTCATGCTCAGATCCGCCAGCCTGGAGCAGGGATAGAGAGGAGTCGTGCTGTGTTCAGGCCCCAGCTGCTGCTGTGGTCAGAAGCCTGTGGTAGGGAGGAGGGAGAGCCCGTGGCAGAGAAGCTGCTCCAAACAGGCCATGTGCCCTGGGAAGTGCCTGTGTGGAAATGTCAGGTCCCTGTCCCCTGATGTCCCAGGCTATGGGGCATAGAGGAGCCTCTGGGGCTGAGGGCTCAGGACTGTGGCCTCTGTGCTAGGGAATTCCAAGACTGGCGGGATCCTCACCCTCAGGGAGCCCCCAGATCTAGCAGCATTCTTACAATCCCTCTAATGTCCCCAAAGTACAGGAAGGCACAGGACCTCTGCACAGAGAGCACAACCCTGAGAAAATAGTAGGACTTCTAGAATTAACTAGCTGTTTGAGTTGAGCTACTCAGTTAACCTCTGTATTTTAATCTGTCTATTTGCTGAATGCACATAACTGTAGGGCAATCTATGGCCCGCTGTGAAGACAAAAAGGGTTAATATATGTAAAACACTTAGTATAATTCCTGGCTCGGTGTGATTGCTCACTGGGTTAGCTGTTAGGACTGTTGTCAGCGTCCCAGACTGATGGACAGCATTTAGCCCCTACCTTTTATCCTCTTTCCTCTGGGTAATGTGTGTGCCCTTGATTGAGTCAAGTCAAAACACAGTCCCCGAGAGTGAGAAGAATGAGACCTCAGCCTCTCTGCTCACCCCACAGCTGGGAGGCCAGGGAAGCCTGGAGTCCTCTTGGAGAACATATGATAAGTGGCTGGCCTGGCAATATTCACAAAGTAGATGAGAGCATAAATTGCAAAGCTAGTTTGCAATGTCATTTCATGTGTCTTTTATGGTCCCTTTTCAACTGGTGGTAACTTTTTGCCCTAGTTTTAAGTGTTCTCTGTCCCCGAGTACCTGTCCTGGACCATAAAGGGAAGGTCATCCTAAGTGTGCTTAGGACGTCAGCATTGAAGGAGTCAGTCAGCTCATAAAGCCCAGTGAGTTTAAAGCACACCGTTGCTCCTCCGTCAAGCGTCCTCAGACTACACACTGTGCTTCTGTGTTAAAGCAGGATATGCTAGACTCCAGAATCCTTGGGTGACCCTTCGTCAGCCTCCGTTAGTTCTCATCCCCACTGTGGTTCTCAGCCAGACTCTGTCATTTACAAAATGAACTGGAGAGACGGATCAGTGGTTAAGAGCACTGGCTGCTCTTCCGGAGGACCTGATCTGAAGTCCCAGCATCCACATGGCCGCTTGCTCCCACCTGTAACTCCAGTCCCGGGGATCTGATGCTCTCTTCTTGCCTCCAGCAGCAGATGTGCAGATGTGATGTGCAGAAATACATGCAGGCAAAACACCCATACAAACTAAAAAAAAAGTCATTTTCCTAAGAAAACTGTTTTTCCAGTTTATAAGATGAATTGGGCCCTTCCCATTCACCCATCAGCCATTTAAACTACTTCCCGGGGACCTCCAGGGCTGGGCCACCTGAGCAGTGCGGCTGATTGCTGAGCCTCTTTCTGCCTTCCCCTTGGGTGACACTGTTGGCCACAGGCTGTCCACGTGAGCCACAGTGGATGGCAGTGGCTCTCACCCTTTCTCAGTTATCTCATGGGGACTGTCCTCTGGCTGGTTCTTCTCAGGCTGTGTGAGCTTCCAGTCAGCTCTCCCGGCCCTGTCTAGCAGCAAGTGGCTCCCTGGTTTATCACTCGGCAAACTGAAGATGTTCATTCTTCTAAGAAGTGGGCAGAGCAGACCGAGAAAGGCTCTGGCGCTGCTGCCCACGGAGTCACATGCTTAAAATTCAGTTAGATAACCAGTGCAGTGTACGGGAGAGTCACCATTTTAGAAGAACGTTTTGTTGTTGTTGTTTTGTTTTTTCTGTTTGTTTGTTTGTTTTTTGAGACAGAGTTTCTCTGTGTTGTTTTGGTGCCTGTCCTGGATCTTGCTCTGTAGACCAGGCTGGCCTTGAACTCACAGAGATCCGCCTGGCTCTGCCTCCCAAGTGCTAGAATTAAAGGCGTGTGCCACCACCACCCAGCAATTTGTTTTGTTTTTCAAGGCAGGGTTTTTTTTCTCTGTGTAGACCTGGCTATCCTGAAGCTCACTCTGTAGACCAGGCTGGCCTCGGACTCAGAGATCTGCCTGACTCTGTCTCCTGAGTGCTGGGATTAAAGGTGTGCGCCACCACTACCGCCTAGCTATAATTTTTTTTTTAATTCTTTTAACTTTTATTGATCTTTGTGGATTTCACATCATGGACTCCAATTCCACTTACCTCCCGGTCCATAGCATCTGCCTCCTGCCCTTGCAGCCTCCCCCACAAAGCAAAACAAAAAGAAAAATGAAAAATGAAACAAGAGAGAGAAAAGAATCTTGTCGTGGAAGCTGTGGTGTGGCCCGCTGAGGCACACAGTTTACCCTTTCGTCCGTTCATCTTTACTTGCAAGGGTTCATCGCCTGAGTCATCGGTCTGGCTCCGAGGCCTCTGGCTTCTGCTACACCAGGGATAATGGGCTCTCACCGGGGCTCCTCTTAGATATCCTGTTGTTTTCCCATGTCATGGAGAGTCTGCTGTTTTGGATCCCTAGGTTCGTCCCCTTCACATGCTCCAGCAGTTCATAGATGAGGTGGATGTTGGGGTGGGCTATCTCATAGCCCTGGTTCTGAGCTTGGGTGGTAGCTGGGTTGGTCAGCCCACCAGCTTTCCCTCATCATCACTACCCTGACAAGCTCCCCAGCACTGCCTGAGCTAGGTCACCCAGTGCAGCCTGCAGCAAGGGGCGGGGCCAGTTCTGCTCCCGGGGGCCCTTGGGTCTGGCTCACTCACACTCACACCACCCAGGCCAGCTCTGCTGTTTTGCCCAGGTGAGGTGCAGGACCCTCTCCCCATTGCTGTAGGGAGGTGTGGGGTACGGGTGTCAGCTCTCCTGCTCTCATGTCCTCAGAGCTGGCTCACCTGTACCCCAACAACAGGGTCGGCTCTGGTGTGCTGTCCAGGTCGGGTACAGGGCACTCTTGTGTGCCGCAGCTGGTGAGGGGCAGGGCTAGTTGTCTCACTCTTGTGACCATGACCAGGGTGGGGGCTCAGCTTTCTCACCTGCCACAGATAACGAGGGAAGGGGGGAGGGCATCTTTCCCTTGCCCAGGGCACTGCATGGCAGATGAGGGTGGGGCAGGGTCAGCATCCCAGTCCCCAACAATAGGGTCAGCTCTAGTGCTGCCCAGACGGGGGGGGGGGGGGGGGGGGGGGGCAGAGCCCACTCTCGTGACCAGCTAGCTCTCTCACCTGCCACAGGTGGTAAGGAGTGAGGGGGTGGAGAGGGCATCAGAAGAACCATATTTAAATGCAGTTGAGGGGCACTAAGTACATTCACATTGTTGTCCCTGGTTGCCACCATCCGCATCCAGTACATGTCAAGTGACCAAGCTGAAATTCTGTGCTCATTCAACAGTGGCTTCTTCTTCCCTCCCTCTTGCCATGGCAACTAGCGTCTACAAACTTGTCTCTGTGGATTGGACTATTCTAGGTAACTCATGCAAATGGACTCATACTATGTCTTTTTGTGGTATATGTTACCTAGCATAGCATCACTGAAACTCATCCATATTATGTCAGAATTTCCTTTTTTATGGTTGAATAGCATTCACTGGTTGTGTGTACTATATTCTGTTTGTCATTTCATCTTTTTGGCCATCTTTTAGGAAATGGGAATCACCATGATTCCAAGTTGTATAAATATTTGTTTGTTGTCTAAGTGTCTGTTCTCTGGGGTGTACACAGAGTGAGGAACTGTTGGTCATACAGTGATTCTACATGTACTCTTTTGAGGAGTTACTATACTGG